AGACTTTTTAGAAAAAAAAATACTGGTTTTTTTCTAGTTCATTTGCTCACCCTATATTTGTATGTTCTGGCCACTACTCTCCAGTTTGTAGTTGTGACTTCGCTTTGAAATTGTTTGCTTGGCCTGACCAGTTACTTAATATATTTATCCATTTGCTTACTATGTATAAGATAGTTCTGGAATTTCCTCTTGCAGAAGTCCTTGATGTATTGCAGTTACATAAGGTAAAGTCAGTCTCCCAATTAAAAACATGCCTTTGATTATTTCCCCCTTCTGGATGTTAAAAAAAAGCCATCCTGTAATCAAACTAAAGTAGCACTACTTTTTTCAGTGTTATGGTTTGAGGAATCTTTGCTTTTCATATGTAATACTGATTTCAAGAACAAAGGTATCTCCAGGCCTGGTGGTGCACAACTATAATCCCTGCGCTCGAGCCTGAGGCAGAAGTCGCCAGGAGTTCAAAGTCAGTCTGGGCTACATAGTGCGTTCAAGGCCACCCTGAACTACACTGCGAGACCCTGTCTCAGGAAGAAAAAGAGCAAAAGTATCTTAGCCAGTACCACTGCTATGGTAGTACTACTTCAGGCTTTGGTAGATCTCACTTGGACAGGCACAGCTCTCCGCATAGCTTTATAACCATCATATTTTGTTATATTGCTTCCAATAAGCACAATAAAAAAAAACCAAACAGGTTGCCTAGAAGCCTGAAATTAAAAGTTGGTTTGCAGCCAACTATCAGAAGGCACAAAGGTTTTTCGAGGCACTTGAAACAACTTAACTTTCAGGTTGTTCCTTTTTCTTTGTTTAGGTTTTAAAGTCTGTCCCCTTCCCCCCCAATTTTCTCATTACATTTTGTGAGTTACTTCTGCTGAGGACAACATATTTTAGAAGAAATCAGTACAGGACATTTTTTTTTCCCCTAATACTGTCAGTCCTAGGTCTGCTCAGAAATAAGGGTTTATACAGCAGCAAATGTCTAGAGTACATGATTAATCTGTACAGATTTCCTTGCTAAACTAAATACCTGAGCCAGGTCCTAGGAGTATATATTTCTAAATAAGCTCCTTAGGTGATTTTTCTGTAGCCAACCTGGGCCAACATTTGGGCACTAAATAGGACTTAATATTAAAGATCAACATAAATACTAACTGCAGTACACACATAACCTCAAAATCACTAGTGAATAATTGAGTTTTTAAAATTTGCCAATAAATAAATGCCTCTTTTTTTCTTTTTCGTGTATGTGTGTGCGTGTGTGGTACTGGTATAGAACCCAGGGGGGACTACTGCTGAGCTACATCTCCAGCCTTTTTTGTATTTTGAGACAAGGTCTCGCTAAGTTGTTCAGTGTGATCTTGAACTTTGTCCAGCTTCAGCCTCCCAAGTACCTGGGATTACACGAGTGTACACCTGTGTCCAGTGAGAAATGCCTTTTTCTTTTTTGGTACCGGGGATCGAACTCGGGTCCTTGCGCTTGCACGGCAGGCGGCAAAACTACTGAGAAATGCTTTTTGTATGTGACTAAGTTAAAGTGCCTTTCAGTGGAAAAATTAGTTGGACCATTTGGTCAGAGAACAGTCTTACATTTTAGACACAGAGTATTTAGTTTTTATACAGAATTAAAGCAAAACAAGAAACTTGAGACATCCAAACATTTTTATTTCATGGCATTTATTTATGCAGTGAAAATTTAAAGATATGCACACCAAATAAGATAGATGAAAGTCCTGTAACAGAATGTTAAAGTCTCTTTATGCCCAGTAGCAATGTTTTCCTGAAATCTAGTGGTAATTATAAGGTAGAAATAATAAAGTATCAGTGAGTACTAATTTACTGTTGAGAAACACTTGAGTATGTTAGCATTCACTAAGCTGTAATATCATTGATAGCCAGAAATATTAAATTTTGTACACCTTGGTTTATCTTCTATACTCTGCCTATCCCCTCCTACCACCCTTATATTCTTTGAGTTCTGCAAATATTTTAACTAAGAGAGTTATTTATGTGCAAGAGTGATTCCCAGTAGAGAGAAATTACCAGTTCTCTTTTATCCTTGCTTATATAGGATAAAGGAATTGAGAGCCGTGCGAGTCTTCATTGAGAGTTATTTGGAGTGCTGGTCTTTCCTTGCTTCAGCCTAGCCATGAAGTCTTGCAAAGAAAGGTCACTTTCAGTCTTATGTCCCTCATGTGTTGTCTAAACATGGTCTAAATTGTTCCTTTCAACAGTGATAGCCTGTGGTTCTGATTAAATAGGAATGTATGTGAAGATGTGTTGTGATATTATGATTGTTTCACAAGATTACATTGCACTGCAAAAAGGTAATATCCTATGGCAGCAACAAAAAATGTATTCATTGTAGCTGGTGATCTTTTCACAGCATCATTTCCGCCATAGTCATTTGAAAACCTGAAATGATGTTGAACTATAAATTATTCTAATTTTTGTTGACAAGGTGAAAGGTCATTTGCTTTGTTTTATATTTCAACTATTTCTTTATTTTCTATTCATACTGGTGCTTACTTCTTCATAGCCAAATGGCAGAAAAGTTCCCTTCTGCAGCTTCCAGTATGTTTGTCTGACCTCACAGAAACGTCCTCCGGCTTTACCGAGCAGGACCACCAGAGGTTCTGGCACACTTGCAGTCCCTGGCCCAACACCGAAGTCCTGCTGGAATCTGTGCTCCGGGGGCTGTGCCGGGTAGAGAGGGCAGTGGGAGGTAAGAGCTCTTCACCCTTCACCACCTTCTCCACCCAGCATGGCCAGCACACTTTGGTCTACGGCATATCTCCAAGTAGAGTCGGGTTTGAATGCTGTTGTCTCATCTTGGGGTTGCAATGTAACATTCTGATTTGGACTATTTGGGGACATGTAAGTTGTATTTATCCAAGTAGGAATGGTTACAAGTATATGTGTCTTTTATGTTGCTCTTAAGACAATTATTGTGCTTATTTTGTTCTTTTATAGAAAAACAAAAGCACACTTCCAATTATATTTTTTCCTTTTTAAAAAATTGTAAAGTCTACATAACATCAAACTTATCATTTGAATTGTGTATATAATTCAGTGGAATGAAGTACATTCACTCTGCTGCACAGCCATCACCACCATCCATCTGCAGAACTATTTTCCTGATTTGACGCTGTATGTATTAAACACTAACTCCCTGTTTCCCTCTTCCTCCCAGCTCCTGGTAGCCATCATCCTTTCTTTCTCTATGAATTGGAGTATTTTAAGTACTGTACCTCATGTACGTAGAATTAATACAGTCTTTTCCCTTTTGTGTCAATTGTACTGTATTTTGTAAAAGAAAGAAAAAGCTGTCATCAGGTTTATGTGAAACATAGCCTAATTTACATTTGATTTATTGTCATCAGTGTCTCTCAATGATGCTGTGCTAGGGAGGTACCTTATGGTCTCTGTCCTCTAAAGATATGAATGGGAAATTATTCCTTTAACAGACAAATGTAAAGTTATACTTTTGTGACTGCTAATTTCTCATTCTGTTTTGGGATCTATATCTCAGTTTGTAGATGGTTTTGTTAAAATATTCATAATATAGAGATGACATATCTAAAAAATAACCAAGAATTTGGGAATTGCTTAGAAGAATGGGAAACTGACTTTGACTTTCTTGTGTATGGTGGCTGTTGGTAGCATTAATGTCTCTAGAAGAATCACTGTTTTTGGATTCAGAAGAGCTTTTGGAGTTCTGTGTCTGTTACTTGTTAGCACTGTACTACCAGTAAACATTCTACCTTCCTGGGCCTCAGTTTCCTACCTATAAATTGTTAGTGATAGGCCTGCAATATGTTTTCACTTCCTTCTGACTTTGTTACTATTAAATGAGCCCAATTTAAAAAGCTGTATATTTATTCTTTAGTGATTTCAGCTCATATGGCTCTCTAGTATTAATGTTCTAGTAGCAGCCTAAGTGTGAATGGGTGTTTCTGGCAAGGAGCAGCTTTTCATTTTAATTGACACTTTCTTTTATGTACTGTGCCAAGAGCTTTCCTCACTAGTAGTTGTAAATGCTAAATCTATACTTGACTTCACCACCACCTGTCAAGATAAATACAAGCTTCATTTCCCCTCAAAGGAGTTCAAAGGAATAATTTATCCTTGGTCTGTTTGGGGAGATGATATTTTCAGCCAGCATCACATGGACCCAGTTGCAAAGATTTTCTGTGCCTAAAGCAAGTTCACCTGTCTTTTTTGTTCTTCTAAAACATGTAGCAGTTAAAGTGAAAATTTTAGAATTGCTCACTTGTTCTAACTTCTATGATCGAGAAGTGGCAGCAATAAAATCATATCTTAAGTGGGAGTGTGTTGATGTCCTCCAAGTTTAGTCAGAAAATATGTTATCTAGCTGAGCAGTTTATATTTATAGAAATAAAGGAAACTCATTCTGTTTGGCAGCCTGAGGGACAGAGGGATAATCTATACTTAATAAAGATGATCGTATTTGGATGTGTACCTTTGAAACAAATGCACATCTATCCAGTGATCTAGATAGCTGAGGCACATAGCTGTTAGAAGGGAATGCTAAATTAATTGACATTTTTAATAGTTGATTTCAGACTTTAGGGAAGGTTTGTGGAGATAGTTTATCTAATTTCATAAAGTGCAGCAGCACTTGTAGGGGCTTTTTTGTTTTGTTTTTTGAGACAGGCTCACTATGTAATTCAGGCTAGCTCTGAACTCACTATGTAGCCCAGGCTGGCCTTGAAGTCATGGCTGTTCACCTGCCTCAGCCTCCTGAGTGCTGAAATGACAGGAATGCAGCACCACACCTGGCTTGTAGGGGCTTTCTTGCTGTGACTAAACACAGAGATTTCATGTGCCTTTCCTTTGGTTATATTTGTAGGCTTCAGAATAATCCTGCGAAATAGGAAAGCTATCTTCATTTCATAGATGAGGAACTTGAGACAGAGAAATGAACTACTCATGTTCTTGTATTAAGCAGAACTAGTATTGGAACTTGGATCTTATGACCTGCTTGGCCTGGTGCTCTTGAAACTACTGGCTATTCTGCTTAGAAAAGAACATGAGACAGAGAGACCATAGTTCCAGCTGTGCATTCTCCATTCCCACAGACAGTGGATTCATTCTTCATGCCATAGTATATTGACCTATAATTTTCCACTTAAAATTACCTACATTCCAAGCTTGTTTATAAAATGTATACCTGAGGTCACACTGGAGGCTGAAGCAGAAGGATCGCCAGGAGTTTGAGGCGAGCCTGGGCTACATAGTTGAGGACCAGCCTGAACTACATAGCAAAAAAAAAAAAAATACCTGAGGAGCTGGGGATTTAGCTCAGTGGTTCCAATGCCTGCCTCGCAAGCACAAGGTCTGGAGTTCAGTCCCCAGTACCAAAAAAAAAAAGTATACTTCAGGAGTTGAGTGGATTAGAAGAGCCCACAGTCCTTGAGATTTTCTTTGATGATAATATCTGTAACTGCATCAAACACAAATTTGACATTCTGTGTGTCTGTAGCACATGTCATGTGACTGTAGATTTCTTTGACATCTTTTCGTATATTGAGATCAAGGAACTGGTTCTTGATATAATTCCCCGCATCCTCATAGGAGTTGTTCCCTGGTTTTCCAGAAAAACAGTGAAGAAATAAAATAAATTAACCCTTTTTAGTTGCTCATTTACTTTTTAAGTTACAGACTTGATCCTCGAAATGTGTTAAACACATACAATTGGGACCTACTTTTGGAATGTTTCTCTCTGTTGCATCCAGTGCTTCTCACTTGAGTGGACCAAGGAAATTGAAGAGAGGGGTGTCTTTATATCTACACCTTTGGTTTCTGGCAGGTATTCTTTGAACAGTCAGTGGCTTTCCTGCATCTAATATCTGCTGTATTCCAGAGACATCTGAGTTTAAACCCTGTAACTGAATGCCCAAGTTTCTCCCCTAATACAAGTTTCTTTATTTCTTCTTGGCATAGAGAATGAGGCAGTCACCAGTTATTACTAAAAAAATTTACCGTTTTCTGCAACCTTTGATACTTAACATCATACTCTGGAAAACAAATACTGAGATGGACTTTCTTGGTTTTTTCCTCAAAGAGGTCCTTATTGAGAAAGAGGACAGCGGAAGTAGCAGCAAAGAACTTGTGGTTACATATGCTGTTGAACAGATGTAAAGACTCATGCATACGATTCTAGTAAGAGGAAACACCAATGGAAATATAAGACTGGATTTATGAGATATTTGTCTGCTTCCTTGCTTATTTCCCCTTGTTCCAAATGTAGCGAACAGCTTTTTAATGTGATAAGAGTAGAGCCAGAGAGATCTGGATTCCTTTTAATCTTTCTATCATGTTAACAGATGTGTGGCTTGAGGGAAAGTATTGAGCTTCTCAGAGCCTCAATTTCCTGATAGTTATTATGAAAGTTAAATGAGCACATGTATGTATAATGTCTATGGTAGTGACTGCCATAATAAATGATATGCTGATCTTTGGCAGCCAGGCACAAATAAGGACTTCAGCATCTTTAAATATTGCTGAAACAGGGTTGAGACCAGGCCTAATTTAGCATGTGCCTATTTGTGTCTCCAGTTGATTTTATTAGGCTTAGCTTAGATATGGAGTCTCTTTGAACAGGGACATGACAGAGATGATTTGGCCCTTGTGAATGCTAGAGAATTTCTCACTGTCATACTACAGGCATTTGTGCTGTCTTATTCCCTTCCCTGGTTACTGCTTTGAGAGATGAGAAGTTGTACTTATCTGCAGAGTCTAGAGGTTGCCTTGTGCCCTAGGCCACCCAGCTTTCAGCAAACAGGCCTTTAGAGAACTGAAGTAATGCTGACTTGAGTGCAGTCTTTTTATCTAATAGCACAAGGAAAACCGAATTTGTAGCCTTTTCTCAGTGTTTGCTACTCCTACAAAACCTTTTGAGATCTCACTGACTTTAGGGATAAAGATGGAAGAGAACTTGGAAAGTGAATAGTGCTCTAAGACATTTTGCCTAAAAGATAGGCAGAGTGCTCAAATATGTACTTGAACTACTAAGGGGGAAAGGAAGGGAAATGAAGCTGGAGCAAGGGATAGGAAGATAAAAGCTTTGTTTTCCATTAGTAGGTTGCTAACCTCCATTTGTGGAGGAGATATTTATGTGAAATTAGTGTTTCCCACATCTTTGACATCCTTTATTGCAAACCCAGTAAGAAGTAACTGGTCATATTCTGACACTTGTCCTGTAGTGCTCCTACCCTCATAGAACTTTACAGGTTGAAGGGACCCACCCACCCTCAGGTGGTTCCTCAGCTGCCAGTTTAGTTGGCATATAAGAAAATTGGACTGCTGATCTCTCAGTATATTTTCAGGTGTACATGACAGTGCATTTTTAGGCTTCTAAGTGAAGTTAGTAGCTCAGGCCCTCTATTATGTTGTGTAAAGGCGTATATCATACATTGTCTTTCCTATTCTACTTTTCCATCTTCTGTTTTTCCATAGGCAGCCTGTGTGTATAAATGTAATTGCTTTGCCTACTTGATGGTCTCTTACCCTTTTAATACTCAGTCCCTCTCATGAACTTTGTTTTTTGTGGTGGCCAAGTGATACTTGTATGTCGCATCTGAGACTAACCTCATTGTGGAGCTCTACTATGCTAGTCTGAAACCTGCAAAAGAACTGTTTTCTGGAATTGTTTGCATGAGACATTGACTGGTCTACTGGAGGACTGCTAGATTGTCAGTGTTCATTGACATCCTAGCTGAGATACTAGAATGATACAAGCTTATAAAATGAGCCATGAGGGAAACTTGATAAACCAAAGCTCTTTGGTGCAAAGGCTGCTTACCACCTCATCGTCTTCTACCAACACCATGTCATAGGCACTGAGGGCTGCACAGAAAATGATGCAGGTGACTCCCTCAAAGCAGTGGATCCACTTTGTCCTCTCTAATCTTTGCCCTCCCACATCAAACATCCTAAGGGAAGAAGCACCTGTTTTCATAGACATTCCTGGCATATGGCCCACGTCTTTGCTGTTCTCCCAGAGCAGTGGATGCTTTGGGGCCAATTAGCAGCAAAATGAGAGGAAAGGGAGAGGGGGAATTTAGTAATTCAGATTGGGCTTCAGCAAAGGCCAAAAGCAACACCCATGTCCCTTTTTAGGGTTGCACATGTGTATCTGAGATGTCTGCAGCAACCATGCACACACCTGAAATTCAAGTCTTTGACAGAAAACTTTGTTTCAATGATGCCTGTGGTTTTGACTCTGGATCGTAACACATCTTGCTCATTAGGGAGGTAGCTAGGATCTGTAATCCAGTCCAGTTGGTTCAGGTAGCTAGACAAAAGTGATTGGCATTGATGACATTACATTTTCCACAGTGAAGGTTGATAGTTACCCAAAGTCACACGACTAATGTGTTGAACCAGAGCTGGAATCCATAACTAAATTTAGGATTCTTTCCTTCAAACCTTCATGTGTTCTTATAAAAAGATATGGATAGTGGGCTGAGAGATAAGTCCATTTGATGAAGGGGCTTCATGAAATTTCTTTGGGTTTTTCCAGCTGCAAATCCTTTCTAGATCTTTGAATGAGAATTACTGTGTTAAATAGTTCTGTCAAGAGGTACGAGTAGGGCTAGGGATTCATCTCAGTGGTAGAGTGATTGTCTAGCATGTACAAGGCCCTGGGTTCAGTCCCCAGCATGGGTAGGGGATAGATTGAAAGATACATCAGAGACATGAGAGAATGCATGAGTTTTGTTTGTGTCATGAATAAAATTGGAATTGGGGAAATTTGAACACTGATTTGGGTGTTTGATGATATTAGGGAATTATTACATATTTGGGTGTGATGATACTATTTTTTTTAAAAGAGCCCTTATATTTTAGAGATATGTAGTGAAATTTTTAGGATGAAATGATATCTGAGGTTTGCTTTAAAATCATCCAGTAAAGTACTCAGTACGACAGCACATATACTAAAATTGGAACGATACAGAGAAGATTAGCATGGCCCCTCTGCAAGGGATGACATGCAAATTCGTGAAGCATTCCATATTTTAAAAAAATTAAAAAATAAAAGCCATCCAGTAAATATAGAGACAAACAAGAGTGGCCTTGAATTAACTGTTGAGAGTAGGTGGTTATTGTATTCTACTTTTGTATATGTTTGAAATTTACCATTAAAAAATGAGAAAGTTTTTTTTAAAAACAGAAAGTTGAATAAAAGGCATCTGTGAAGAGAAATGACCCAGAACAGAAGGAAAATTAACATAAGTGCTTAATGTATGTCAGATATTTTCCCATTTAAGTTCTCAATGAATCCCATAAGCCTGTATGATTCATATCCGCATTTTGTTTTGTTTTGTGGGGTTTTTTTTGCAGTACTGGGGATTGAACCCAACACCTTTGCACTGAGCTATATCCCACCCCACCCATTTTTTAAATTTTTTAGAGAGGGTCTTGCTAAGTTGCCTAGGCTGGGCTTGAACTTGGCATCTTTGTGCCTCAACCTCCCAGAGTGGTGGGATTGCAGGAGTGCTCCACCACACCCAATTCATCCCCATTTTAGAGATTAAGAAATAATTCAGAAGAGTTAAATAACTTGCCCAGCGTCAAAGGACATTATGATATGCTGTAAAAAATAATTGGCTTTGTGGTCAAGCAGACCTGGGTACAAATCTAGCCCCTGCTATTTATGTGTGTGATCATGGGCAAATTAAATGACTTTGTTGATGTTATAGAAAAGATTATCATTTTTCATCTATAAAATAAAGCTAATAAAAAGGACTGTTTACACCTTCAAGGCTTATTGTACAAATGGAGAAAGGGTCTTGACACAGTACACAGAGCACAACTAGCAGTGATGGGCTTTGTAAGGGAGCATTCCAGAGATGGTAAATGATAGCATTATTACAAGATTAGGTGACAGAGGTTAAAAACAGGTCTGCCTCCAAAGCTCATACCCATCTATGATATATGACAACTATACTGTTGTGGGATTGATAAATTCTGTGTCCCATATCGTTTTGGAACCAGCTGTGCACAGTTGGTTGTAACTCCTGCCTCCCTTTGTTTGGTTTGCCCTGGCGATTCCTGAGGGCGATTCCACTGTAATATTCTGACATAAGATGCTGTGGATAAAGGAGACTTTCATTTCTGTCTAGTAGCCTAGGTAGAGCCTAGGGGTATAGCTAGAAAAGTCAGTCTTAAAAGAGGGTCATGACTCATGTACCTCCTGGGAGTGTGCCAGCAGAACTGCAGGGCTGTCAGGATTCTGAAAGGAGGGCGTAAATTCAGCTTAAGAAAACAGGGTTAAGAGCTGTTAGAGCACCTCTGTTTTGAATTTTGTGTGTTTAGCTTTGTAGGCTGCAGTAAGCTAGTGTAAAGTAATGCAGAGTGGTGGGAGCTGGCAGATAATCTGTGAGGCATTAAATTTAGTCTGTGGGTCTCCAGCTTTCAAGGTGTGATATTTAAGGCTAAGTGATATTTCTCTTGCAAGATTGCTTAAGCATCATTCCTCCTCCTCCCCAATCAGTCTTACTAAGATGCAGAGTCACTGAGCTGATACTCTGCAGCTCTGTCGAAGCAGGCTTGCACTCCACCATCCTTCCACAATTTCCTGATGACCTCTACCAGCTTGGGAGGCATGGTAGAATCAGCCAGGTTGTTGAGCTGTCGCCCATCATCCTGTAATGCAGAAACCTGGGTGAGAATGATGTAGGAGGAATGGCTTTGCAGGAGGCTTCTGGGAACACCACTGAATGGAAAGCATTTTGCATTGCTACCAGAGCCTAAAGTGGAGACAGTCTTTCGTGGAGATTCTATCTAAGAAAGCATACTAATTAACTTTTGTGTGTGCTCCCTAGATGTAGAGGGTGGTAATAATGTCCAGCTTGGAAATTCCTAAAGGATAGCAAAGGTCCCAGGTGCTGCCTCTGGTGTTTTTGACTTCCAGCTTTAGTTTGAAAGTAGCCTGCCACAGAATGTGGGTCCTTTGCTATAGAGAGGGTGAAGTTTAAAGGCTGGATTGACCTTGAAATTGACAAGATGGAAGACAGGAACCCATCACATTTATTCTTTCAGTGATTCAAATTTAGCACAAGGCCAATACTAGAACTAGGGATTTAGCTTATAAAAGTTCCATGGCCAAAAGTTCCTTGGACAAAAAGCCCAAGGGGAACAATTTAGTAAAAGAAGACAAAAATGCAGAAGAAGCAGAATAAAAATAAAAACATTTATTTTAAAGGTAGAAGTTGCTAGGGACCAGGGATTTAGCTCAGTGGTTCCCCTGCCTGCCCTGAAAGTGCAAGGACCTGAGTTCGATCCCTAGTACCAAAAAAAAAAGTTGCTTGCTTTCCGAGAACAGAAAGATTTGAAACTCAGCAGATCAGATTTAGTTACACAGAACTTTCTCTTACCCAACTTCATAGTTTGTTGGCCTCTGGTTCAGTTTCTTCTCATTACCCTTGCTTTAACCATATAACATTTATTACATAATGCACAGCTTGGATCAGCATAGTCAATGCCCAGTGTGGACATGGCGCGGATGATAGCCAGGATGGACTGTAACACATTCCCGTAGATGACAGACTTGAACTCCAGGCATTGTTCTGGCGAATAGCCATCCTGATGAATGATCCTTAAGGAGCAGACACCCAGCTTTTAGCTGGACCTAAGTAACCAAATCTAAGGGATTGGGAATTTACAGGGATTTAAAGAATCGTAAAAACCCCTGTCACAAACTGCAGGGTGAGGGGGTTGAGGCACCAGAAATCAGTTCCTTTAAAATACCCGGGTTCCTTGAGGCTAAAGAGCCTATTGCTCTTAAGTACCTCCACTGGCTTCATTAATGACTCCCCAAGTCCTTTGGGGCTTTGTTTCTACTCACTTCATCTGCTTGACGATAGTGCTCTTTCCTGACTCCCCAGCACCTGGAAGGAGAAATGCTTATGCTTCCAGTTTCCACCAGTTTTCCTTAACATTCTGGAAAAACGGGGATGATTGCTGCCCTCAATTTCTGGCACCTTGAGCTTGTGCCATTTGACCTGGATTGATTGGCTGATTGATTTTTTTTTGTGGTAGTGTACTAGGGAATTGAACCCAGGACCCCACATATGCTAGGCAAGTATTCTACCATGGAGCTACATCCCCAGCCATTGTTTTTAGCAGTTTTTTGTTTTTAAAATGCTGGGGATCAAACCCAATGCATTCCAGGCAGTTGTCACTCTTCACACTGAGCTATATCTCCAACCCTTCATATTTTGAGACAAGGTTTCACTAATTTGCTCAGGCTGGCTTTAAATTTTGTTTTTTATTTTATTTTATTGTATTTTTTTTCTTTTGGTACCAGGGTTTTGTTTTTTTTTTGAGGCAGGGTCTCCCTTTGCAGTTCGGGCTGGCCCTGAACTCACTATGTAGTCCAGGCTGGCCTTGAACTCAAGGTGATCCTCCTGCCTCAGCCTCCTGAGTAGCTGGGATTTCAGGTGTGTGCCACTGTGCCTGGCAGTGATGTGGGTTTAGAGCAGAGTTTATTAACTTCGGCATTATTTACATTTGGGGCTGGATTTTCTTTTTTGTAGGGACACTAGGTTTTTAGCAGCATTCCCGGCCTCTACCCACTAGAGGCCAGTAGCATCCCACTCGCCTAGTGTTACCTGACATTTCCAGATGTCCTTTGGCGGTCAAAATCTCTTCTTAAGAACCACTGATAGAGGGCTGGGGGATTTAGTTCAGTGGTTCTGCCACCTGCCTTGAAAGCACAAGGTCCAGAGTTCAATCCCTGGTACAAAAACAAACAAAAATACACTGGTAGAATCAGAGGAATTCCTTTAACGAGTTCCTCACTACCCATTTTTGACTCAAGTTATTTTGGGTAGGGCCAGAGACTTGGACTACTTTGCTGAAATATTTTTTCATTATCTTTATGGTTCCCTTATTTGACTAAAATGCCCTAAGTCCTCATTCATACTCTTCCCCCATCAAAACCCACATTTCCCTCAGTCTCCACTACCCTGATCCCTCAACCTCCTCCCACTTAGCCTGTGCTTTTTCCCTAAGCTGCTTGTTCTGAAGCTAGAAGAATCTGCATAGGCTTAAAAGATCCCTCAGGGCCCCTGTCATCTCCATTTCCCCCTGTGTAACTCCTGGACTCCTTGATCTGTCCTTGGGTGGTGGCACAGATAAGCTGGGAGAAAAGATGTCCTTAGCCTAGTGCTCCAAAGGCTTGGAAACCCAGCCCAGGCAGCCATTCTTTTGTTATGTAGGACCCACTCGCACCAGCTAGCCTACTCACGTGGTAATGCTGTTGGTTTTTGTTTCTTGTTTTTTCCCCTAAGCCAGGTGTCACAAAGTTTCTTGTCTTGGTTCTATTTATAGCCATGATCAGTTTCCCTGGCTGATCCACTGAGGTGCTTCTATTTTCTTAACTCAGACCAGTGATCTGCTTAGGAGTTCATCAGTTGATTAACCTCCCATCTGGCAGGGGCTTTGGAGGCAATTACCTAATTGAAAACCAGGAAGGGACTTACGTGGATAAAGACCTCATGTCTCCCCACGCAGGGTGCCCTACTTCCAAAATTTTTACTGAAAGCAGAAAGGAACCAGTGTACGTGGCAAGAACTAGTGAGCCTATTCTTGGGCCTATGTGTTAGGATTGTATGGTGGGACTTCTGAATCCATTGGTGAGAGAAGGTCCTATTCTTTTCTGATTCTTTGACCCAGAGTCCTCTCACTGTAGATTGGTGTCTACATAGCCAAGGTTCTTAGTATTTGCCAAATCAAAAGGAGGTGTTGGTTCAGTTGGATTTGTAGATCTTCCACCTTGGACCTTGTGCTATTCTGTTATGGATCCCTTTGGGGTGGCTGTGCAGATTCCATATTAATTCATCCCTAGAGCTCCAGATCTGGCCTAAGACTGGATTGGGAAAAAGAAAACTTACCTGCCTTGTCTCCTCCCCTTGGGATGGGCTAGAACCCGCTGCTCCTCCAGGGAATAGAAGAGCATGCATGATCTTTGCCGGCTCAGCTTCCCCTCTCACTCAACCAGCAACAGCAGCTTGACTGTCTTTGCTTCCTTGTCCGCATCCTCCTGCAGCTTCTTTTCTAATTCCTTGCATCTCTTTGCCAGCTCTTTGTCCTCTGCACTGATTCCACTTCCCATCTCTTTTGTCTCCTCAGCTACTTCCTCAGGCTCTTGTGCTTCTCCTGTAAGATTTTCTATGTGTGAAAAGGGAAAAAGTATTTGGGATTGAGCATCATTCTTTTGCCCTCCTAAAAGCTAGCTTATATGGGGCTAGGTGAGAGCAGGCTATCGATTCTTGTACCTTGTCTACCTTGGCTGAGACTCCCTAACCCAACTGGAGGCCTTCTTAGTCTAGGGATTATATCCTTTATGTTTAGCAATGTGATGAGTACAGCCAATTAAGAGCTCTGCCAATAAGACAAAGGGCAAAGATTCAAAATGCTCTGTAGCAAGGGAAATGATCCGGGAAATGACCCAGGTTCTGACACAGGAAGGAAGGGTGTGAGTACTGGAGCTCTTGGGAATGAAATGATGGTCTCCTCTATCCTTTTGAAGAGGGCCATCTCCTGAAAGAGCTTGCTCCCTTGGATTTACTTGCATTGTAGAGTTAGAGGTTAGGGGCACAAACATAGGATGTATCCCCTCTATTGAGTCTCTAGATTATAGGGTCTGGGCTTCAAGGCAGCAGAGAAGGCTTATTCATCAGACCAATCCTGGCAAAGAAGTTTGTTTGGGGTGGTGTTCTTCCTGGGAAAGATTAGGACTGTTTCACTCAGGTCCCCCAGGGCTGCTGCTCCGGAAGCTATCAGCATTGTTTCTTTGTGGTGCCTTATCTCTGTACATACCCCCACCCTTTTTGTGGTACTGGCCTGTACCCTGAGCTACATCCCTAGTGCTTTAAAAAATTAAAAAAAAAATTTTTTTTTGAGATAGGATCTCCCTAAGTTACCTGGGCTGGGCTTGAACTTGCAATCGTGGTTCCTCAGCCTCTAAGAATGCTGGGATCACAGGCGTGCAAACACCACACCTGGGTCTTTGTAGATATTTGTGTAAGGTCAGCATGACAGACCGCTGAGGCAGGCAAAGTCTAAGCAACATGTGATGAGTTTATTGCCATCTGGGTACAGATGGGCCAAGGGTGAGAAAGCTGTTGGCACTGAGAGGAGGGTGTGAGTGGTTATATGGGGCATTTTAGGTAGGGGAGGGGGCACTGGTCAAGAGGGTGGAAAATTTTAGAGTCCCATGGGTGATGGGCCTGGGGCTGCCTGATAAACAGGGTGTTGGTGAGAGCAGCAGGGCCACTTCTGGCTTCTTATCTCTGTGCTCCTGTGGATGCAGGTAGCGGGTCGCAGGGGTCCGACTTGGACCTGTCACTTTTCTTACAGTTATCACTTTATTTTTTTGGCCAGGCAGAGGGGAGGACTTTTGAGACAGGGTTTTACTGTGTAGCCCAGGCTAGCTTCGAACTTGCAGCAATCTTGCCTTAGCCTCCCGAGTGCTGCTGGGGTTACAGGCGAGCACCACCACACCTAGGTATAGCTTCATTTTGTACTCTTGTTTTACCAATCTCTTTCCCACCGTCTGTTCCTCACTACGAGAAGTCAGAGACCAAGTCTGATTTACCTTTGAACCTCTTCAAACTTGTAGTTCAGAAGCAGATGTTCACTGAAGGCTTGGTGAATAAAGGGAAAGGGTACATAGTAGAGAATGGGGCTGCTTCCCCTGGACACACTAATGCCACCTGAGGTCCAGTTTCACTTGGTGTGAATTTTGTTGGTGTTCACAATGGGGATTGTGCCGTTTCACACAAGAAACTCTTGTTTCCTTGGGCAGTTAGACTAGCGTCTGCCTCTCAGAGGTTGGAGCAGTGCACCTCTTATCCTCAAACCGGCTGTCCCCCACCTCCACCCCAGCAAGATTCAAGGGTGCAGGCTTGCCTCACACATAATGAAGATTCTCCACGGTCCATATTTCATCACGCCAATTATTTCACTTAAGTGGGTCTTGCTGGTGGAGCCCTCCTCAGATGAAGATTATTTAGAACTTTGCTACCCAAAATGTGGTGGAAGGATGAGTGACTTCAGATGACCTAGAGGCTTATTAGAAATGAAGTGTGGACTTTCCAATTCAGAATCTGCCTTTCAGTAAGATCTCAGGCGACTAAGGACATCAGATGTCAGGAATTACTGCCCTGGGGAACTCCCCCCCCCCAATTTGCATAATGGAAGGAACACTTGGCATGCTTGTTTCTGCTTCCTAAAGCCTTTGCCTGCCGCTGACTAGAAGACCACCTTGCTTTCAGAGATGTTGAAGTAATACATATTTTTTAGAAGGTATTGTTTAGAATCAAATTTTGATAACTGTTAATTCCAGAGCTTGAGAAACTTTTAAACTACTATAGGTGATTATCATCATCTGGCAAATTTGAAAGACACTGACCTAGAACATTTCTCAATTTTTGGTGTATATTGGGATTTACTGGAGAGGTTTGTTTGTATGGTTTTTTGTTTGTTTGTTTGTTTGTTTTTTAAGAAAATACTGATTTAATTGGTCTGGAATGCAGTTCAGGCATAAGGATTTAAAATTCCTTCCAAATGATTCCCATGTATATAGCTAAGGTAGAAAACCATTAAGCTAAAAGGATCTAATTTATTCTTCCCTTTCAGAGCTGGAATTGTGTGGGAGTGGTCAGTGGGACAAGATAGAAGACACCCTGAGCCATTGCTGATGATCCTATTTTCCCTGACCTTTAAGCTGAATATTGGGGGAGTCCAGGCTCTCTGAGCTGATGGAGGAATAGGCAGGTACTGAGAGTCCTCCATGGCAATCATGATGGATTGTTTGCTTGCTTGCTCGTTTTGAGGTACTGGGGATTGAACCCAGGGCGACTTTGCTACTGAGTTATATCCCCAAGCCTCCCCCGCCCCCTTTTGAGACTAGGGTCTTGCAAAGTTGCATAGCCTGGCCCTGAACTTGTGATCCTTCAGTCTTAGCCTCCCACATAGCTAGAATTACAGGCCTGCATCACCTCGCCCAGCCTGGCAATCATGTGTTTCCAATCAGAAATTGGCAACTGCTTAATTGACTTAAGGAAAAACAGGAGTCTCTTTGAAATTGTGACTGTCTTGGAATCCTAGCTATAAAGTTTCAGTAATTATACCTCCCCACTATCCTGCCCTCTCCTTTCCCCAATATTAGTAACTTACAGCTAGCCGAGGGCTGTGTTGAACGCTGCACCCTTAAAAGAAGGCACTGCTAGGAAGTGTACTAGGCCATTTATGTGGCTCGTACCCATTAATTCTCAAAATATCTTTAAGGTAAGTGCTGCTGTTCCCAATTTCCAGACCAGATAACAGACCTGAGGGTTACCTAACTTGTTCCAGGTCATATAGCTTTGTAAACAGATAAACAAACCAGTGATCTTCCTTGCCACTACCCCCAGCCAGTGAGAGAAAGCATCTTTGGGCGAATAAGCGAACCCAGAAGTAACAGCGTTGCATTGTAGAAGGAACCATGATCTTGTTTCACAGAAACGCTTAAGCAGGTTCCCTTTTCACCCTTCACCACTACAGATGTCTGTGGTGCTTCTGCTTTGTTTGCTAGCTTCCTGAGTGGGTGCTTGGAATTTTCACCACCATGCCCTTGCTGGGCCTCTGAGAGCATAGAATCACCACAGTTGAATCACCACGGTGTGCACCAACTTATGCCAGGGACCTTCTGCCTCTTGTCCTCCTCCCCTTCCTCAGCCTTTCCACAGTGGCTGTTCTACTTTATTATCACATTTAGGAACAGTACCCTGACAAGGCAGGCAGTGTGATTCTCATTTAGAGATGAATAAAGTGAAGCACAGAAGTCATCATCATCTGAGTAAGCACATTTATATCAGAATCAGAGCTAGAGCTCAAGTGTTTGATTTATAACCTTTATAAGCATATCATTTTGAGAGGAATCAAGTTTCCCAATCAATTTGGGGGATGTTTCATGAGTTAAGCGGAGATCTCAGGATCTGTCTTACATCCATTGGTGTACTTTGCTTTCTCCCAGATGTAATTGGGGTACATGCAGACCTTCCTTCAGGAACTTCCAGTCCAAAGGAAGAGGAATGGGAAATTCACTGAGGAAACAGTTTAATTAACGGGACACTGCTATGCTGGGGAATGCAACACTGCTTTAAAACCTAGCTTTGGACTACAGGTTTTTTTGAATGGTAGAATGCTTGCTTGCCCAATCCTGCAAGGCTCTGGGTTCAGCCCCTAATACTGCAAAAACATCAAAATAAAACCTAGGCTCTACCTCTGGTAGGAGAGGCAGTTAACCGCTAGATTGGTAAGTTTTGAGGTAGAAAAAAGGGAAAGATGATTGTAAAATGAACAGACTACACAGAGAAGCAGGATAGCAGAAAAATGGAGGGTTTGCATTAGGGGAGGGGAAAGCATAGGAAAATAAAGAGGAACAAGGTATAAAATATACTTAGAAAGGACTGAGCACTTTGATGTGATAGGACTGGAATGAAAGGTTTATGGAGGGTAGAGCTGTGAGATGAGGACAGGAGAGGGAAACTGGAGTGACAGGTTAAGGGCTCTAGCCATTGGCGACTTAGAAACATGCAGATGGATATAGCTGCATGATGCTATAAGAGTGATGGGTGAATGAGATGGGGCAGGTAGGAAGAGCTGTCTGCTGAGAGAACCTGAGGAACAAGCCAAATAGCTCAGAAGAGTCTGGACATAGGTTAGACTTAGGAAGTTGCCTTGCCCAAGGATCTTTTTGGAGCCACAGGTGTTTAGGAGCATCTGGCCTAAGGAGGCCTAAGTAACCTGAAGGCCAGAAAGGGAAGAAGTTCTTCAGAGCAGTAGGAGTGTGCTGACATTGGGAGCCTGGCTTCCGGGAGAGCCAATTAAGGAATCATGCTGGAAACAGGCTGGGAAGGGAGGAGGCTGTGTTTAGAGCTAGGGAATATCACAGAGAGGCTCAAACAATATTAAGCCCTGAGTGCGGGGGCGGGGGGAAACAGGCCACAGGATGACTCATTCCTTCATTTTCCAAGCTCTCTTTCATAGACAATGAAACCCCACTGAGGTTCTTGTTGATGCTGAGTAGGTGGGAGGTTGATCCTTAGCTGCAACCAGGATAGGTTT